GAGGGGAGGGGAGGGGAGGGGAGGGGAGGGAAAGAGAGGAAATTCTTCTCTTCTCCAGGCTCTTTGCATGGCTGCCTCCTTCTCATTCATTAAATTCAACTCAATCCTCCCACCTGAAGATTTGGCTGGCCTCTGTCAGAGGGTGCTCCTCTCCACTTATTTTTCTCTGCCCACTGTTTTCTTCATGGCACTCACAAGTTAGAGATGTAGGTTTACTTGTTTGTTCACTTGTTTATTATGTGTTGCTCTCAGGGCAGGGACTGGGTCTATTTCATCCCCTAACCCAAGTACAGTTCCTGACACAAAGGCAATATCCATATAATAATCATGGAATGAATGAATGAATGAGAAAATGGAAAACTTCATGATCCTAATTTGTAGAGTGATTTGTGTGTGTGTTGTATGTCTCCCCTCATGTCCCATCTGTGGAATCTGAAGATCTACAGGTATTATTAGTCTCTTTATGGTCTATTTACCATAAGTCAACTTGAAAACACAGTGCTGATATTTTTCTCCCTTTGGGGAATTCCAAGATTCCAAGAACAACATTTATATGTCAGTAAATAGCTGGAGGAAGTGGTTTTCTTTTCTTTTCTTTTTATTATTTGGGCAATTGCATTCAAAACAGACTTTGGTGAAAGCACAGACTGCATCCTATCAGTACCTGAATTTCCATCCCCTCTGCAAGTGGAAGAAAGTAGTAAGAGCAAAAAGTGTTAGTTGTCGCCTCCACCGCATGGCTGGGAGAAGAGAAGCAGGAGTTTCCCTACTTCTGTTTCCACCAGTTTCTTACGCTGTTGCCCTAGCTTGGTGTTTTCTACTACTCAACACTTACCTGAGCCACTATCTCCTGCTCTCACTGTTAACCTTCTGCTTTTCACTGGCACAGTGGTCCTACAGAAGTAACCCCCCTTTGTCCCCTAAGTGCCTGTGGGCAGTGCTACAACTCAGCTTCCCAGTGGTCAGGCCACCCCTAGACCTTACTGTTTCTCCATAATTTCAGACATGAAGCTCTTTATCTCTGACTCCCTTCTCCTTTGATTTCAACCTCTCCTCATTCTTTTTTTTTTTTTTTAAGACGGAGTCTCACTCTGTCGCCTAGGCTGGAGTGCAATAGCAAAGTCTCGGCTCACTTCAACCTCCGCCTCCTGGGTTCAAGCAATTCTCCTGCCTCAGCTTCCCGAGTAGCTGGGACTACAGGCGCCCATCACCACGTCCAGCCAATTTTTTTTACTTTTAGTAGAGATGGGGTTTTACCGTGTTAGCCAGGATGGTCTCCATCTCCTGACCTCGTGATCTGCCCGTCTTGGCCTCCCAAAGTGCTGGGATTACAGGCGTGAGCCACTGCGCCCGGCCCTCTCCTCACTCTTATTCATCTCCTCTCACCCCTTTATGGACCCCTGGAATCTAATTCCCCTTATTCTCTCACTCAAGGAGGAAAACAGATGTGTGTTGATGGCCCTCAGATGTTAATACCATAACTCCCTGGGTAAAGGATGATTATAACATCTGCATCAAGAGGTAAACTGTCCAAGGCTGGGCATGATGGCTCATGCCTGTTATACCAGCACTTTGGGAGGCTGAAACGGGTGGATCACTTGAGGTCAGGAGTTCGAGACCAGCCTGGCCAACATGGAGAAAATCCATCTCCACTGAGAATATGAAAATTAGCCAGAGGTGGTGGTGCACGCCTGTGGTCCCATCTACTCAGGTGGCTGAGGCATGAGAATTGCTTGAACCTGGGAGGCAGAGGTTGCAGTGAGCCAAGATTGCACCACTGCACTCCAGTCTGGGTGACAAAGTGAGACTCTGTCTCAGGAAAAAAAAAAAAAAAAGTAAAATAAAAATAAAAAGAGGTAAACTGTCCAGGATCTTAGGAGCAAAGACATGGTTCTGAGACACTGGGATAGACTCTGCCTTCTCACTCCTTTCTCCCCTACCCTATAGTCTCTATGTTTGGTTCGGGAATAGGAACCAAACATAAATGTTTTTTTAATGTCTCCTTGTTCGTGTAAGATCTTCCTGAATGGTGATACAAACTTCAGTTGTAAAATGGCAATGGGATACGAAAACTGTGGCTATTTTTTCAACTCTGGCAGGATGCTAGCCAAGGAGTGTGTCACTGGTAGTTGCATACTCTGTCAGGAAATTCAAGGGCCAGGGAGATCCATGCTGATATGTTGCCTCTGCTCCTGATCTGTGTGGCCAACTCATTTCTCATTTGATCTCTAGATCCTTGCTCACACAAATTGAACAGTTATAAAAGGTGTGTGTGTGTGTGTGTGTATGTGTATGTGTGTGTGTGCATGCCCCCAACTAATCCATAACTCACTGGATACCCTGAGGTCTCACTTTCCCCCATATCCCATATCACGGGATAATGAACTGTGACAGTGCTTCTTTCCCCAGCATTCTACCCAACTTCCCCACAACTTTGACTTTAAGCAATTTTCAGGTACTCTACAATCATTTTAGGGGTGAAAGTAATAGAATTTATACAAAAGGGGCTCACTACAAATTCATAGCATTGTGTTTTACCAGGGGCCTCTTGACTATGCAGTCATTCGTGTATTTTCCTCTCACTGATGGTCCTGTGGTCTTTATCATAGCCACGCACCCCTCACATGTAGCTCTTGCAGTTCGTTTCACTAATGCAGATGACCTCTGCCTCCTCCCTCTCTATGAGACAGCCAGGGCCAGTCAGGAGCACCCACATCTTACCTTTCTGCACCTAAAAATTCTGTGTATCCCATTCACCTCAAGGGAAGTGATGTCATTCTTGATTTCTCAAAATTACTCTTCCATCTGGTTTCCCCATCTCATCCCCTCCTCTTCCCCAGGGTCATCTGTTTCTCACATTTCCCTTTTCGTATCTTCTGTCTCCTCTTCTCTACTGCTTCCTCACCTTAGACTACAAACATATTTGGGTCTTCCCAACTTAAATAGACAAATGACATGAAACTCTTCTTTTAGAGTGAAAAATAATAGCAGATGAAAGCTTCAAAAATGTTATGGTATCATTGTAAAGACAAGTATACACTAGCTTTGTGAACTTCTTTTCACTTCCAAACCTCATGCCTATCCTGTGCAGCAGCTACCTAACTGACTTCCTTGCGTCCAAACTCTCCCTCTTCCAGTCCAACTAACATTTTGCTACCACATTAATTTTCCTTAAAAATATGCCTTTGTATGAAATATTTTCCTTATAGGAAAAAGCACAGATTCCTTTGTCTGGAATGCATGAGCATTCACAACTAGCACCTCCCCTGACAAACAAACAAACAAACAAATAGCCTTTCTTTTCACTATATTTCCACATGAATCTTCCACTCAACTAAGCTGGCTCTGACTATATCACATCCAGTATCTCCTCAGCATGCTCTTCATGCTGTACCTCCTAGAATGCACTCGCTACTTTCTTCCCCATCACTTCCCTAAGTCCTATGCCTCCTTCAAATCCAGCCCAATTTCCTCTCCTTCAAGAGGCTTTCCTCAATAGAATCTACCCTTTGGGGACCACTTTCTAAATACGGTATTTAATAACTGTCCAGCTCACTGGGTGCTTAGCCCTTGGATGTACAGCCTTGCATTGGTATTTATTGGTTTAAGTATCTGTCCTCACAGGAACAACATCTTATGTTATACCTCTTTATATCTTTCTTTTTAATTAGCACTTAATCTTTCTTATAATGAAAATAAACCTGGCTAGATTATAGAGATTTTGGTAGGGAGGGTTTCAGAAAAACTACCAGAGTAAATGTCTAAGGGCTACACACAGGCAGCAAGTTGAGTAAAAAGGCATTTTGGTTATTTCTTCCTGTAGTACCTGACAGAGGTTGATGTTGCTGTAAATATTCTCCCAGACTTGGTCATAGTCGCACTGATGCAAACCCTGGGAAGCCACAAAGGATGGATGATGTGGAGCCAGCATGACTATCTTTGCAGCATGATCTTGGAGCACTTGCATTACTCGCTCAGGGTTGGAAATCTCAGGTAGAATAGAGAAGAGAAGGAATGGTTATGAGAAGTATGTTCCCTTTTTCTCAGCAAGACTTTGGTCACATACACGTGAACAAGGAAGAAAGTCTAGGTGGGACTTTATTCAATTAAAAAAATAAAATTAAAGTCCAGCATCATGATTCCCCAAATATGTTTGTCCATTCAGCACTATAAGTATTCAAATATACATAGTAGCTCATTTAAAAATTCTGTGACAATCCCCTAAAGACAATAGCAGGTGGTGTTCCCACAAGTGTTGTGGCATCAGTGAAAAGATAAACACCCATCAGCATTGGGTGCAAACTCTGTCAACTGTTAAGAAGCTTCTGGGCAATGGAGGAGGGGGCAGAAGTGTAGCACAAGAAGAGCACAAGCTTTATAAAGATACAGACCTAGGCTCGTATCTCTGCAGGAATCCTGGCTTTTCCATGCAGAGCAGGGCAAGTCAACCTAACAAAAATGCTAATGATGTCTCTACCCAGAGTGCTGCAATAATGCCTACCATGTAGGAGAACCTGAATAAATGTCCCTTCTTCTCATCTGGAGGTAAAGAATTGAATAATAATCCCAGAATTGAATTGCTACTTAAGTGATACATATATACTGTATCACTTTAATATCACAAAGAACCTCAAAGATCATTTATTTCGATCTCTATCAAAATCCCAAAGACATTTCTTGCAGATATAGAAAAATTCATCCTACAATTTATATGAAATCTCAAGGGACCCCAAATAGCTAAACAACTTTCCAAAAGAACAAAGTTGAAGAACTTACACTCCCTGAATTCAAAAACTATTACAAAGATATAGTAATCAAAACAGTATGGTACTGGCATAAAGAGAGACATTTAGACCAATGGAATAGAGCAGACAGCCTAGAAATAAACCCTCACATATATGGTTAAGGGTGCCAAGACCACTCAATGGGGAAAGGACAACATCTTCAATATATGGTGTTGGGAAAACTGAATATCCACATGCAAAATAATAAAGTTTTATCCTTACATTATACCACATACAAAAATTACTCAAAATGGATTAAAGATCTAAATGTAAGACCTAAAATTATGAAACTCTTAGAAGGAAACATAGGGGAAATGCTTCATGATATTAAATTTGGCAACCATTTCTTGAATATAACACCAAAAGTCCAAGCAACAAAAGCAAAAATAGACAAATAGGATGACACCAAACTTAACAACTTTAGTGCAGCAAAGGATGCAAATCAATTGAAATGAAGAGTCAACCTACATAATGAGAGAAAAGATTTGCAAATTATATATCCAATATGTGACTAATAGCAAGAATACATAAAGAACTCCAGGCTGGGTGCAATGGTTCACACCTGTAATCCCAGCACTTTGGGAAGCCAAAGCAGGTGGATTGCTTGAGCCCAGGAGTTCAAGACCAGCCTGGGAAACATGGCAAAACCCCATCTCTACAAAAAAATCCAAAAAATTAGCCTGGTATAGTGGTGTGCCCCTGTAATCCCAGCTACTTGAGAGGTTAACATGGGAGGATCGCTTGAGCCCAGGAGGAGGAGGTTGCAGTGAGCCAAGGTCACACCACTGCACTTCATCCTGGGTGACAGAGTGAGACCCTGTCTCAAAAAGAGCTACAACTCAACAAGAAAAAATCAAATAAACTGATTTTAAAATAGGTAGTCAATTACAAACAAAAAAAAAAAGAAAGAAAGATGAAAGAAAAAATAAGCAAATAGATATTCAAATATCTATTTGAATAGATATTTATCTAAAGATGATATACAAATGGCTAAGAAGCATATAAAAGATGCTCAACATCACTAATCATCAGAGAAACTCAAATCAAAACCACAGTAAGATTTCACCTCACACCCATTAGAATGGCTGCTATTAAAAATCATAAAATAACCAGTGTTGGTGAAGATGTGGCAAAATTGGAACCTTTGTGCACTGTTGGTCCGACTATAAAATGGTGCAAATCTATAGAAAACAGTATGGTGTTTCCTAATAAAATAAAATAAAATAAAATAAAATAAAATAAAATAACCATGTGATCCAGCAATTATACTTCTGGATATATATCCAAAAGAACTGAAAGCAAGACCTTGAAGAGGTATTTGCACATCCATGTTTATAGCAACATCATTGACAATATCCAAAAGGTGGAAGCAACCCAAATCCTCATATCAGATGAATAGATTTTTTTTAATGTGGTATATACTTACAAGGGAATGTTATTCAGCCTTAAAAAAAAGGAAGGAAACTCTGACACACACTACAACATGAATGAACCTTGAGGACATTATACTAAGTAAAATAAACCAAAAAGACAACTATTGCATGATTCCACTTATATGAGGTATCCAAAGTAGCCAAACATATAGAAAAAGAAAGTAGAATGGTGGTTGCCAGGAGCTGGGAGGAAGGAAAAATGAGAGTTGTTGTTTGATGGGTATAGAGTTCTAGTTTTGCAAGATGAAAACATCCTGGAGATATATTGTGAAACACTATGAAAGTATTCAATGCCACAATTACCATGTTCTTTTGGAGGTATCATGTTTCCTTGCTTTTTTGCTTCTTGTATTCTTTTTTTTTTTTTTGAGATGGAATTTCTGTCTTGTTGCCCAGGCTGGAGTGCAATGGCACGATCTCAGCTCACCACAACCTCCGCTTCCCAGGTTCAAGCGATTCTCCTGCCTTAGTCTCCCAAGTAGCTGGGATTACAGGCATGCACCACCTTGCCTGGCTAATTTTGTATTTTTAGTAGAGACACGGTTTCTCTATGTTGGTCAGGCTGGCCTTGAACTCCCAACCTCAGGTGATCCACCTATCTCGGCCTCCCAAAGTGTTGGGATTACAGGCGTGAGCCACCGCGCCCAGACGCTTCTTGTATTCTTACACTGATATCTGTGTATCTGGTGGAATGGGTGCCTCTTCCAATTTTATGGGGTAGCTTTTATAGGGATACATTTTCTGTATCCCTGAATTATATACAGTAAATATTCATTTAATGTCATCAATAGGTTCTTGGAAACCACAACTTTAAGCAAAACAATATACAGCAGGCCCTCAAATAACATCATTTTATTCAATATCACTTTATTGTAATGTTGATGAGAAAAAATGCTGATTTTTCTTATACGTTGTTTGGTTTAAAGTTGCAGTTTCCAAGAATCTATCGATGGTGTTCAGTGAGGACATACTGTACTTAAAGATGGTTATGGTAAATTTTATGTTACTTTTTTTTTTTTTAACCAAAATAAAAGTATCATTTAGGTGCAGGCTCCCCAGGGACCAATGACCAGCCCACCTGGTGCCTACAGCTGCCAACAAACCCATCTCCTCCAGTGGCAGAGCCACCATGTACTACACCAGTATCCCAGGAACCAACATCCAGCCTGACTGGTGCCTGCAACACCAACCCTGCAACCAGCAGAGATGACATGCCCAGTGTGTGCCCTCCAGAACCTGAGAATTGGCCCTCTTGGTAGCCCTTATCCCAAGCAAAGCCATACCACTACTGCCTTCACAAATATCCAGAGCCTAGGCCGGTAACGTACTTGCAGACACCACTGACACTGAATACAGCCAAAGATATCACACAGAGACTACACTATTGTACCCGTCCAGAACCAAAACTAAAGCATCCTTACGTAACCAACACTATAGGACACATCTACGGGGAAAATGTAGCCCTATAAAAGCTACCCCATAAAATTGGAAGAGGCACCCATTCCACTGATATGCAGATATCAGTATAATAATACAAGAAGCAAAAAAGCAAGGAAACATGACCCCTCCAAAGGAAAATGGTAATTATCTAGCAACAGACCCCAAAGAAAAGGCAATCTATAAAATGCCTGGATAGGAATTCAAAATAATGATTTTAAGAAAACTCAGTGAGATACAAGAGAAAACAGACAGACAACTCAATAAAATCAGAAAAATAATTCATGATCTAAATGAAAAATCTGGCCAGGCATGGTGGCTTTTACCTGTAATCCCAGCACTTTGGGAGGCTGAGGTGGAAGGATTGTTTGAGCCAGGTGTTCAAGACCAGCCTGGGCAACATAGCGAGATCTTGTCTCTACTAAAAATTTTTAAAAATTAGCTAGGTGTGGTAGTGCATGCCTGTAGTCCTAGCTACTTGGGAGCTGAGGTGGGAGGATCATTTGAACCCAGAAGTTCAAGGCTGTAGTAAGAGTTCTAATTGTGTCACTACACTCTAGCTTAAGTGACGAAGCAAGACTCTGTCTCAAAAACAAACAACTAATAAATAAATAAATAAGATATTCAATAGAGATCAATATAAAAAAGACCCAAACGGAAATCTTGGAGTTAAAGAATTCAGTGAATAACGTAAGAAATACAACTGAGAAATTCAACAATAGACTAGATCAAGCAGAAGAAAAGTTTTCTGAACTTGAAGGTCTTTTGAAATAATCCAGCCAACCAGAAAAGAAAAAATGAAGAAAGCTTAAAGGATTTATATAACACCATTAAGTAAACAAATATTCATTTTATGGGAATTCCAGAAGGAGAAGAGCAGGAACAAGGCATAGGAAATCTATATAATAAAATAATCGCTGAAATCTTCCCAAGTCTTAGGAGAAATATGTATATTCACATCTAGTAAGCTCAGAGGTTCCCAAATTCAACCCAAAAAGCCCTCTCTGAGGCACATTATAGTTAAACTGTCAAAAGTCAAAGACAAAGGAGAAAATTCTAAAAACAGCAAGAGAAAAGTGTCAAGTTACATATCATGGAATCTCCGTCAGACTAACAGAGATTTCTCAGCAAAACCTTATGGGCCAGAAGAGAATAGGATGATATATTTAAAGTGCTGAAAGAATAGAAAAACTGCCAGTCAAGAGTACTATTCCTAGCAAACTTAACCTTCAGAAATGAAGGCAAAATAAAGTTTTTCCCAGACAAGGAGAAAATGGGGAATTTATCACCACTAGACTGGCTTAACAAGAAATATAGAAGTCCTGCATCTGGAA